GCGCCGGGCCCGGGCGGCAGCAGAGCGCGGCGCGCAGGCGCCTGGCGGCCAATGCGCGCGAGCGACGCCGCATGCAGGGGCTCAACTCGGCGTTCGACCGGCTGCGCAGGGTGGTGCCCCAGTGGGGCCAGGACAAGAAGCTGTCCAAGTACGAGACGCTGCAGATGGCGCTGAGCTACATCGTGGCCTTGACCCGCATCCTGGCCGAGGCCGAGCGCTTCGGCTCGGAGCGGGACTGGGTCGGCCTGCACTGCGAGCAGCTCGGCCGCGACCCCTACCTGCCCTTCGCGGGCGCCGAGCTGCCGGCCGAGGGCGAGCCCTGCGGCCCCAGGCTCTTCGGCTTCCAGCCCGAGCCCTTCCAGATGCCCAGCTAGGGCGCCGGGCCGGGGGAGCCGGGAGACACCGCGGGACTGTGGATGCGGCAGTGTGGTGGCTTTCCTTTCTCTTCCCGTTCTGTTTTGTAGAGGTCACCAATGAGCCCCGTGAGTGACTTTGGTGCTTGTTAGAACGTTTTCTGGACTACTTTGAAGGAAAACAATCGTCAGGGAAAAATAATTTTAGGTTCTTAAGCAGTTACAGTTCTCAGAGAGAGAATCCCCTTCTCAAGCTTTGTCCTGTTCCGGTAGCGTTATCTTAGGCACCGCTGTGGATGCTCGAAAGAGACGCCTTCCTGTTGCTGAAATGCATGTGTCCTCGCGTCTTGCGTGTGCATGCACAGGCTGCTTTTTCCGGGCACACACGGGCATAGGTGCTCTGTGTTTTTGAAACGGTGTACAAGTTATTAAAATACAGATTTTGTAAAATATAATCAACGCGGCTTTGTTTTTCATGCCAAATACCTGCCCATGAAGGCCGAAGATTCGGAATGCTTTAATTTCACCTATCAGCAAGTTGCTGCTGTGCAATAATCAAAATGAGCACAAGTACTTGATTTGAAAGTTTTCTTTTCCAGGTTGAAAATGTATATTTTGGTAGCTAAGAACATGTAAAATTCCAAATAGTTTTTAAATAACAAGAAATAAGAGTTCCTCAGTGTTTTATGTTCCTCACTAAACCAACTATTAAATTCAAGTATCCATGTATATAGCAGTCATGTATGTAATGCAGATACATGCATACATATATTTACACACATGTCTATAATGGACACCGGGAGAAATAAAAAATGGTTTATGGATGTGATTTCCTTTTAATCAATACAAATTGAACAAGGAAGTCTACACTTCCATCACAGCTAATCAAAACGAGAACAAAGTAATCATGGTTTGATTTTGAATTTCTTTTGTGGAATTGCTTATTCCTCCCACAAATAAATCCATCATGAACGTGCAGAGTGACTTGGTGCTCAGCATCACTGCCTGCCTGTGGGGAGTCTTGCTCATAAACAAGGAAAGCAGGGCTCAAAGAACTTACCTGTGCATTTGGAATTTGTCACAACAGTATCCTCCAAATTCTTGTATTATGGATCACAAAGCATGTCATACACATTTGTAGTTTATCTATAGATGATCTCTATCAAAATTATTATTGGCTGGGGAGATAGCTCAGTGGTCTAAGCCTGCCTGGCAAGTGCAAGGACCTGGGTTTGACCCATGGTACTGCATGTCATGCAAGCACTGAAACTGGGCATGATGGTGTGAGCCTATAATCCTAGGACTGGGGAGGCTGAGACGGGAGGATCACTACCAGTCGGAGCCGTGTAGCGAGACCCTGAACCAAATAAATAAGTTAAAAAATTGTCTTTTTTGAGACAAGATCTCTCTCTATGCAGTTCAGTCTGGCCTTGAACTCATTCTGTAACTCAGGCTGGCCTTGCACTCACAATGATCTCTCTGCTGCCTGAGTGCTGAGGTTACAGGTGTGCACCATCACACTCACTCAAAATTAAGAATCTGTCTTTTAAATATTTAAGAGACTACCTATTTCTGTCTATTGGAAATTTCTAGAAGTAGTTTAGCTCATCAAATGCTTGAGCTTTCCACCCTAGTAAAGGTACTACTTCCCCCTTCTTGGGAAGACAGAGGAAAAAGTAAATGACTAGATTCAGTGTTTGATGAAACTCCTTAAATGGCACATGCATTGAGATTTATGAATTGGGAGCTCAGAAAAAGCAAGTGTAAAATTACTTGATTCTTATTACATTACAGCTTACATTACCAAGTGACTCAGAATTTGCAGTATTTTATGTTGTTCCTGGACCGGGGCCCCTTTTCTCAACAAGCCAACATCTCCTCTACACGGGCTTACACAACATCCTCGTGCTTCACTGGGCAGCACAAAAGAACACACTTGTTGCTGCGAAGTCTCCATAGAGGGTGACTGAGCAGTGCAGTAGACACCAGGGAGAGGTCCTCAGAATGGGGGCACCCAGTCATAAAGGGGATGCGCCTGCAGGGTTTCAGTTAACCCTGCTGTTATCTGCAGGCTCTCCTTCCGTACCAGCTAGAGGTCAGGGCTCCAGACTCCAAGGTCACAAGCCTTGAAAGCTGCTTACAGCCAGAGGCCCCCCGAGATGGGAAAAGCTGCCTACGCCAGCAGGCATCCTCAGTCTGGACTGCTCATCAGACTCACATCACACCTGGGGAGTCGCCCGCAAACACCCAAGATCAAACTCAGTACTTGCTCCTGCCCGGCCAGCCTTTGTGTCCCTCATGATTCTCACTGGCTGCCACATTTGAAAACCCACTTAGACAACACTTACTGTGGCACCGTTCCCTCATTACTCAGCCCTGGTTTGTCGGCTGCCTGTCCTTTGCATTTATAGCTTTCAAGGACTCACTAGGCTCTGACTCCTTTTCTTCTTCCTTTTTCATTCTCTCCCTCTCTGCATCCCTATCCCCTGCCTTTTTTTCCCCCTTTTTCTTTAATGGTACCAGGGGATGGAATGCAGTCCTAGATGCCCTTTTTTAAATTTTTAGATTAAATTTTTTGATATTTATTAGTACTGTGGATTGATTGCAGGACCTTCTAATTGAGCTACACACAAATTCCTCTTTATTTTTATTTTGACAGAGTGGTTGAATTTCCTAGGCTAGGAAATTTATGCAATTTTTGCAGTTCTCTCCCCTCTTCCTCCAAGTGTGCTAGGGTTGTGTGCCCCATGCCAAGCTGTTATGGTACTTTAACATTTCAGTGAGTTTTTCCTGACTGGGGAGAGACTGTACTTCTTGGGGGAGGACAATCCTTGAGGAAAGCAAAACACAGCAGAAGTTTGCTTATAATACACAGACACAGCAATCCAGAGCCAGACCTTTAGCACGCATTACCAGATCGCCCTACTCCTAAGGCCAGCCTCAGGCACTCGGGGCTCTCCAGGAAGCCACTCCAGCCCTGCTTCTCCTACAGAGATTCCAACAGGTCTGAGCCTCCCTTCTGTTCACATCCAGCTGACTGCATCACAGGACAAATATCACTAAACCTAGGAACAAAACAACCTACAACTAATTAAAAGTAAACTGTCGGGCTGGAGAGATGGCTCAGTGGTCTAAAGCACCTACTTAGAACAAGCTTAGCAAAGCATCAGGGACC